TGAGAAACCCTGATCTAGATAAAGAGAGCAGGGAAGAAGGGTCCCTCCTCTATCTAGAGGAGGGATTCCTTTATAAAGAGGAGGGATGGAAGAGTCTTTATCTTAGGAGAGTGAGTGGTCATTTAAAAGTACGAGTGGTGACAACCAACTTCGAAAAGTTCCCTCTGACTGCCGGCCATGTGGCGACAGTCTGCAGAAGGCCAAAGGCTAAAAGTAGGGAGGTACTTGGGGAGATTTTTGGAGTCATCCAGGTGGGTGGTTACAGGGATTTGATCAGGATAGCTGTACAGGCCTGAGCTGAGGGAAGATAGGAGACTGGACATGAAATCAAAGAATATGTTTTGAGCTGGGCTTCCATTTGGGGATGACCATTCTAAATACTGATTTAGGATTGTGTTGGGGATTAAATGACCATATAGGAGTGAGCAGAAAAGCCACGAGCAGAAAAGTCTTGCCTTTTTATCTAAGGGCAGACTAGATTACTCTGGGAAACACGAAGGCAAAAACAAAGTTGCATTTTGTTCAACATTATCTTTTTTGTTGTTGTTGTTGTTCAACATTATCTTAATGCAGCCTCACAATTCCCCCAGTGGGGTCAGTATTCTTACCCAACCCATTTCACAGATAAGAAAAGAAAGGTTCTACAAAGAAAAGCCACTTGCCTTCCCTCATCCAGCTAGCAAGTGGCAGAGGGAGCATTCTATCCTAGACCTGCCTGTAAATTTCCCCTTCTTCCCTACAGGTAGGCCAGGAGATACCAGGGGGAAGGGCAAAGGGTGGTCAGTGAATTCAGCACCCCTAAACCACCCTCAAACTCTCTACCAGCAGGGAACCCCTCTCTCTCATCCTAGTCAGTGGTTCTCTAATCTCTAGGTCAGTGGTTCTCAACCCAGGATAATTTCCCTGCTAAGGGGACAGTTGGCAGTATCCGGAGACATTTTTGGTTGTCCTAATGTGTGTGTGTAGGTGTGGGGGGGTGTTGCTACCGGCATACTGGCATCTACTGGGCAAAGGTCAGGGATGCTGCTCAGTATCCTACAATGCCCAGGACAGCCTCCTTGCCCATAATAAAGAATGATCTCACCCAAAATGTCAATAGAGCTGAGGCTAAGAATCCTCCAGAATCAAAGCCCTGTGAATAGCCATGTCTGCACTGGGAAGGGACAGGGGCCCCGGCCCTGCAAATCTGTGTGTTAGCTGACAGTATGCTGAAAGGTCCTTCACCTGAGAACCTCAGGTCGGATGACTAATGAGCCAGGAGTGAGACCTTTATATAGCTCCAGAGCAGGGCAATAGTGACAGGTTTGGCTGTCACAGTGCCACGGCCTCAGCAAAGGGGCTCTGACAGGTCGGCAGAGGAGGGTGCAGAAAATCTGGTTGGGGTGGAATTTGGGGCAGCAGCTGCTGCTGGAATCTGGGCCTCACAAGAGGAACAATGCCCCCTGGAACGCCAGGCACACCACGAAGACAGCTGAGCCTGCGGGGCGGGCGGGTGTGGGCAGGCGGGCATCTGAAGGGCACCAGTAAAAATGGAATTGTCTGGGTGCTTCTGTCTCCCACCCAGGCAAGGCAGATGACCAAGAGCTAAAAATACCAGGAAAGAAAAAGCCACTGAAGGGTTGTCTGGCTGCCTGGGGCTGGATCCGACCTCTGGGCTCCCTGCAAGTGATGAGAGCTGGGGCCCAGATCCCCCAAGCCCTATGATCAGAATATCAGGGTGGGGACAGGCCCAGGGGTAGAATCTGATGTCCTGGGTTAAAATCTGGCAGGTACTTGTAGTGCCGCCCTGCAGACTGACTGCTCCTCCCCGAGCCTGTTTACTCATCTGGAAAATGGGTCTAATATTAGTACCTTCCTCACAGTGTTGTTTGAAAATGAAATAAGATGGTGGGTAAAGCACCGAGTGCAATGCCTGTTACACAGGAAGCTCTAGATAAGTGAGAGTCAGGTTTTCTTTGGGGACCTCAGATTGGCAAACTCAAGGGGCAGTGGCTGGGTGGTAGCCATGATGGCAGGCCTACTATCCCCAGTCCTTGCTTTCCTCCAAGAATCCACCACCAGACTTAATAACCCCTCCAGTAGCCAACACACACTTGCTATACTCAGCCAGCTCATGTTTGTCTTTCTTCACCACAAAGCTGTCATTAAAAGTGGTACAACACAAAAAAATGAGGGGAGCCTTGATGGCTCAGTTGGTTAAGCATCTCCCTTCAGTTCAAGTTCTGATCTCGGGGTCCTGGGATTGGGCCCTGCGTCAGGCTCCCTGCTCAGCAGGGAATCTGCTTCTTTCTCTCCATCCTCCTGCTGTGCTCTCTCTCTCTCTCATTCACTCCCTCTCTCAAATAAATAAATAAAATCTTTTTAAAACATGAATCATATTTGCCAGGTGCCACAGAGCATCTTCTCTCAAGAGCTTTGCATGAGGGGACTAGCAGGTGAGGGGGGTGGCTGGAATAGAAAATGAGCCTAGAAAGATAAACCATAATAACCACACACACACACACACACACACACACACACACATACACATATACATATGTATGTGCACACATGCACACACTCATGATGCATGTACTGTGTGCCCAGCACTATATAAAGCCACTCATACACACTGCAAGAGTTGCTGTGTAGACAGCACTTGGAACAGTGCCTGGCACAGAGTAAGTATATAATAAATGTTAGCTGCTATCATTAGTATCACAATTTTCTAGTTTTATTTTAAAAACAACCTTCTGGGGTCAGCACCATTGTTTCCCCTGTTTATCAAGCAAGGAATCTGAGGTTTAGTGTGGCTAAGTCATTTGTTCAGGGTCCCACAGTTAAGAAAGTGGAGTTGCTGACCTGGAACCCGGCTTTCAATCATTGCACCATTCTGGTAGGTCAAGATCAAGTGCTAAAAGATATTAACTGTCGAGCCAAGAAGGGGAGATTTCTTCCTGACATAGTAGGGAACCATTGAGGGTTCTGGGACATGTGTGGGTCATCATCAGAGCAAGGCATGGAGGAAAGTATTTAGAATGGGGGTATGTGAAAAATAAGGGTAGAAAGTCATGAAAAGACAGCCCCCCCCCCCAAAAAAAAAAGACAGGCCCCAAACCAATTTACCATGGGCCAGATCTGGGACAGGACTAGGGGAAGTAGATTTGCAAGACATTCTGGAGGCATCCGACTCTTGATTTCAGCTCAAGTCATGATCTTGGGGTCGTGAGATGGAGTCCTCCCTAGAGCTCTGAGGAGTCTGCCTTCATCCCTCTCTTTTCCTCTGCCCCTGCCCCTGTTCATGCACTCTCAATCTCTTTCTCTCAAATAAATAAATAAATCTTAAAAAAAAAAAAAAGACATCCTGGAGGCAGAAGAGATAGACTTTGTCACCAATGGGCAGAATTGAGATGGCTGAGGATTTTGGTCTGGGTGCCAAAAAGAGCAGTAAAATCATTACTAGAAAAAGAGTTTTTTTTTAATTTTTTTAATTTTTATTTATTTATGATAGTCACAGAGAGAGAGACAGAGAGAGGCAGAGACATAGGCAGAGGGAGAAGCAGGCTCCATGCACCAGGAGCCCGACGTGGGATTCGATCCCGGGTCTCCAGGATCGCGCCCTGGGCCAAAGGCAGGTGCTAAACCGCTGCGCCACCCAGGGATCCCCCTAGAAAAAGAGTTTGAGGGGATCCCCGGGTGGCTCAGCAGTTTAGCGCCTGCCTTCAACACAGGGCGTGATGCTGGAGTCCCGGGATCAAGTCCCACATCGGGCTCCCTGCATGGAGCCTGCTTCTCACTCTGCCTTTGTCTCTGCCTCTGTGTGTTTGTGTCTATCACGAACAAATAAATAAAAATCTTAAAAAAAAAAAGAGTTTGGGAGAGAAAGAGGAAAAAAATGAATTCATATTTGATCATGTTATTCTTTGATTCCCATTACCCTGGACCCAGGTGACAGCCAAGAATAGGAACTGATGGTTCCTGAACATTCGTTGTGTGCCCAGCAATGTCCTTGCACTTCCCAAGTATTAGCTAACTATACTCACTCATTCAAACCTCCCAAGAATGTTTAAAGGGCCATCATTATCTGCGTTTCACAGATGAGGAAACCAAGGCAGGCAGAGCTGACATTGCTTGCCCAAATGGCACTTGGTACGCAGCGAGTGTTCCATGAATGTGACCGACCTGTCTCCACTAAGCACAAGGCCTGGTCCATCCAGTCCGACTTGCTGAAGAAGCCGCCTTCCCCACTTGGTGGTTCCTGCTGACGCCTGGCGGCCCTGACACAGGGAGATAGGCGCTATCACTTGATGACAGTCTATCAGCCACCAGGCTTTGGGCTGGCAGGGCCTGGTATGCCTTTGTTCTATCTGGAGATGGCTGACTTCACCACCCGCCTTAAAGGGGCATGACACCCCAAGGCCAGGTGACCCGCTAAGCCAGTAACTTCCAGCGGTACCATAGTGAGTGCTTAGATCTGGCACTTTTCTGAGTCCGGCTCTGTCCTAGATATTAATGTGTTACTAGATTAACACTTTAAGTTACTGATATCAATATACGAACTCCTTTGATTTGCTGAAGAATTTTATAAAACAACTATATGGAGAAGGGGTTCCTGTTTACAAAGTGGGATATAACAGCTTAGATCTGAAATCCAGGAGCTAGAGAGGAGAAATTAATTTTAAAATGCCCCCAGCTGGGGCTGGATTAAAACTTCTAAAATACCTAAAAACGGAAAAGACACTGACTCCCACTGCCTCATGTGAAATGAAAGATAAAAACAGTTCGTAATGGTCAAACTAGTGTAAGAACATCCCACGGTGTTCTGATTTTCCCCACGACGGCTATTTTAATCCTTTTTAAAAATATATCTAATCCTTTCCCAAAAAAAAGTTTATGGAGTTTTTCTTTGTTTTGTTCTTGGCACCTCTGCTTAGCTGGTGCTGTAAAGAGCATGTATTAAGTGTGTCTGCTGCGTGACCTGGCTCTGCCACCAGCCTCTCGGTTGGCTGAAATGGGAAGACATGCATTCTATCCTCATTAGCGAGGTGATGGCTGGGACTCCTCTAAACGTCTCCAAGGCGGATCCTGGAATGGAAAGGCCCAGGTGGGGTGTGCATGTTTGTCTGTGTGTTACCAGTGTATGACAAAGTGTATTTGTAGGTGTTGTGTGTGTGTGGTATGATATCAACGTGAAAAAATGTATATTTGTATGTGCAAATGAGAGAAAGAGTCAGGAAATGCAAGGTGGTATCCTGGAACAGAAGCAAGGACAACAGTGGAAAAGTCAGAGAAATCAGATAAACTTTGAAGTTTGGTGAATAGTCATGTACCAGTGTCCCACAGTAATGTAAGATATTAATATTAGGAGAAACTGGGTGAGGAGTATATGGGAACTCTGCAACTTTTCTGTAAGTTCTAAAATTAAAAGTTTGTTTCAAGCAAGTCTAGAAGGAATTCTATGAAGTTCTACAATGGAAAAACTAATCTACAGTGCTAGAGGTAAAAAATGAGGGGGTACTTTTGAGGGGGGAGATGTTGATGGGCAGCAGGGAAAGCTTTGAGAGCTAGAATGTTCTGTCTTGACTTGAGTGGTGACACAGCGTGGACATAGGCAAAAACTCATTGCCCTGGGCACCTAAAAGACATGCACTTTGCTACAAGTGCATCTCAAGTTAAAAAAACCAAACAATTAAAAATATAATCTGGAAAAAATAACAAGTATTGGTAAGGATGTGGAGAAAAAGGAATGCTGGTGCACTATTGGTGGAATGCAAACTGGTGCAGCCACTGTGGAAGACAGTATGGAGGGTCCTCAAAAAGTTAAAATAGAACTCCCTTATGATCCAGCAATAGCACTGCTGGGTACTTACCCAAAGAATACAAAAACACTAACTTGAAAAGATATATACGCCCTTAAGTTTTACTGTAGCATTATTTACAATAGCCAAATTATGGAAGCAACCTGAGTGTCCATTGATAGATCAATGGAAAAAGAAGATGTGGGGTGTGTGTGTGCGTGTGTGTATGTATATACATATACTTGTGTATTATATATTATATTATATGCCAGAATATTATGCTGCCATAAAAAAGACTGAAATCTTACCATTTGCAACAACACAGATTGATCTAGAGAGTATAATGCTGTGAAATAAACCAGTCAGAGAAAGACAAATACCATATGATTTCACTCATATGGAGTGAAATTTAAGAAACAAAACAAATGGGCAGCCCGGGTGGCTCAGAGGTTTAGCGCCGCCCCCAGCCCAGGGCCTGATCCTGGAGACCCGGGATCGAGTCCCACATCGGGCTCCCTGCATGGAGCCTGCTTCTCCCTCTGCCTGTGTCTCTGCCTCTCTCTCTCTCTCATGTCTCGTGTCTCTCATGAATAAATAAATAAAATCTTTTTTTAAAAAAAGAAACAAAACAAACGAACAAAGGGAATAAAGGAGACAAACCAAAGAACAGACTCTTAACCATATAGAGAGAATAAGCTGGTGGTTACCAGAGGGGAGATGAGGTGGGGGGATGAGTGAAAGAGGTGAAGGGGATTGAGAGGACACCTGTCATGATGAGCACTGAGCAATATACAGAATTGTTAAATCACTATTTGTATTTCTGAAACTAATATAATACTCTATGTTTACATTGGAATTAAAATTAACTTAAAAAATCATAAAAACACAAAAACATAGAGTCTGGAAGACTTTACATTAAACACACAAAAGACATCCCCTTCAGGGAGTATTTGGCCGCAATGGTAGAACAGAAGCTTTTAAGTCAATATATTTCTGTAATGTTTCAAATTGTTTTATATTAAGAGTGTACTCGTTCACATAGTATCGATTCAACTTCTTACGGACATGTAACGTGCACAAAGAGAAGGGTACTTATAGAGACGTACAGCTCCACTAATCTTCCCAAACGTAGTATATCTGGGCAACCAGCACCCAGGTCAAGATACAGAATATTCCCTGTGCCCCCCAAGCCCCCAATTACTCAAATTCTGATTTAACTTGTTTACTTGAGAAGAACATCAGGAGAGCCCCGTTTCAGCTCCCTGCCTCTCCCTCTGCACCTCCCCCTGCTCATTCTCTCCCCACCTTCTCCCCCCCTTCTCAAATAAATAAAAAATAAAATCTTTAAAAAAGAGAGAGAAGAACATCAGGGGCAGTGATTAGCAAAGCAGGAATCAAAGCCTTATATATAGTGTTCCTTACCGGTCTCCCTTATTCTAAGTCTCCCTTCTACCCACTGAAAACAGTCAACCCAGGCAAAGGCATTAAATCCACATTCAAATGGAGTCCTTGACCCTGAAATGCTCCATGGTGTTCCATGGCAAGGCTCCTAATGGTCAACGGAAAAAAGACTGTCTCCCTTTCAAAGATTCCTGTCCTACAGGCCTGGGAAAAGGTTGGAAACCTTCTGGCCCCAAGTAGGGGGATCTAACTGTCAAGTACCCCAAAATAATCACAGCAACTAACACTTATGGGGTGCTCACAATGAGCTACTTGATTGAAGCCTCATGAAAACCCTGTGAAGTGAGTGCTATTATCATTCTCATTTTACAGATGGGGAAATTGAGACTAAGAAGAAACTGCAGAAGATCATACAGCTGGCCTGGACTCAAACCTTGATTCATCCAGTTCCCAAACCCTGAGCCACCACACCAGGACACCTTGAGGAAAATCGAAAACAAATATTCCTGCTGTCCTCAATCAGTCAGATGACCAAGACTCTGCAGGACCTAGGATCCACGGGCTCTCTCTCTGTTCTCTGATGTCTTGCTTCCAGTGTCGCCAAGGAAGAGTCTGATGCTGACTTAGTCAGATTTTCTCTTAATCTTGGGAGTTTGTGAATTTCACCAGGATATACCTTGGTGTGTGTTTTTTTTCTACATCCATCCAGCATGGAGCTTGGGGATTCTTTCAAGCTACAGATTTGGCTCTTTCCCCAGCAGAAGAAAAATTTCTTGTATCACTTAACGTATTTTCAGCCTCTCCTCCTGAAATGGTGATCATTTGTACCTCTTCATTATTTGGCCCTGAGGTACTCCCTGCAAGTCATTTCCAGGTCAGTATTTGGATTGCAATAGGGACCATCCATTTTTGCAATTCATCTACTTAATTTTTAGCTTAGAAATCAGGTCTTGGGATCCCTGGGTGGCGCAGCGGTTTGGCGCCTGCCTTTGGCCCAGGGCGCGATCCTGGAGACCCCGGATCGAGTCCCACGTCGGGCTCCCGGTGCATGGAGCCTGCTTCTCCCTCTGCCTGTGTCTCTGCCTCTCTGTGTGTGACTATCATAAATAAATAAAAATTTAAAAAAAAAAAAAAAAAAAAAGAAATCAGGTCTTAAATCTCCAGGAAGTCACTTCAGAGTTTCACCTGAATTTCCCTAGGTGTTTTGTTTTGTTTTAGTTTTATGGAGTAAACCACGTACTTGGTTTTTTAAAAAGTAATCAAATTAATACATTGCCACGTTTTCAAAAGAGAATTATTGAACATAAATACCCACTTTTCTCAGATTTAAACTTATTACGTGCATGTCTCCCTATACCTGGATGAAGCTTTACTGATGTATATCTGGCACTGGAAACAGAGCCCAGCACATAGTAAGGCTTCAATAAATATTTAAGTAATCAATACCTTTTGATATGGGGATCAAAACCATTCTTGCTTAAAAATAGAGTACATCTACAAGCACTACTTATATTTTTCCCTCTTCTCACCTCTTCTTTTAATATTGTCAATGGGCAATTTTTTTTAAATTACCACTCAATAAAATTGACCTTTTTCTGGTGTATAGTTCTATGAATTGTAGCTTAAATTTTATTGTTGTAATTAATATTACTCAGCAGTTGATCTGTTTTCTCCAACTGTTCTGTTTCTCTAGGTGTGGTAGGCAGGAAGCATTGAATTTCCCCAAAGATGTCCACGTCCCAATCCTTGGAAGCCGTGAATATGTTAGCTTACATGGCAAAATGGACTTTGTAGATATGGTTATGGATCTGGCAATTAGGTAAGTATCCCGGATTATCCCAGTGGACCCCATATAATCACAGGGGATCCTTAGAAGATGGGAGAGAGGCAAGAGGATCAGAGAATCTGGAGTCAGAGACTGCATTGATGTGGCCACCAAGTGAGCCAAGGAATGTGGGCAGGCTCTGGAAAAGGCAAGGAAAGGATTCTCCACTAGAGCCTCCAGAAGGGAGGCAGCCCTGCCAAACCAGTTTCCATTTCTGACCTCAAGAATGGTGAGATAGTAAACTAGTGCTGTTTTGAGCCACTAAATTTATGATAATATTTTTATAGTAGCAATAGGAAACTAACACACCAGGTTTGTTTTCTGATTGTTTTAGAAGTTGCTATTCTGATTGGCCTGCCCAGCCTTCTTCTCTTTGTCTTCTGAGTACCTCAGGCAGACAGTTATTTTTCTCTTTGGCTCCGTGGGACTTGTGTGGTTTGGGGGACACTTCTCAGCCATAGGAATCCCACAGTCAGTAGAAAGGTAGAGGGTTTTGAGGCAGGTCCCCGGCCCTGTGAGCCTATGGCTCGTAGGTAAGATAAAGCCATCCCAGCCTTGAGGACAAAGAGGCTCCAGCCCACCTACTCTCCTCAATGCATTCTTGAGGTTGATGCTGAAACATACCCCTGAAAGTCTCCATAAACCCAAACCCCAGTCTTTCTAGATTCTCCACTCCCAGGACCTTGTCCCAGGTCTCTGGGGGGCTCCTCAGTGGTGTCCCAGTCCATTGGCCAGGGAGGGGTGCCTCTGGGTCTCCAGTTCTCTCAACAGAGCCCAAGACCTGACGAACATCCTGGGCTATCAGTCCTGGCAGCCATGAGGCTCCATGCTATTCAGGCCGCCATGTTCCCAGAATCTGTCTGACACACATAATTTCACTCACTGCCCCCAGTAGCCTTTTGGGGTCTGCAGTATTATGGTTTTCATCTGCAGACAAAGAGATTGAAGCCCCAGGAGGTTAGTGCCCTGTTTGAGATCCTGTACCTTTAGCTACTGAGCCAGGACTCTCTCCCAGTATCCCCACCCAAAGATCCAGTTGAATAAAATATGTCCTCAGGGGAACTAGCTGTATGGGTGCCCTTTAGGGGCACACTTATATACCTACCTGCCTCTGGAGGGCCTGAGCCCATCCTCACCTCTGAACCAGGGGCTCCCCATCCCCCACCACTCATTCTGCAAATCCGCTGTGGCTGCAACAACTATTTTGCTTGGCCATTTATAGCTACTGACTGCTCACACAAGTGTTTTAACGAAAATCCATGGTGCACCTATTAGCTAGGGAAACATTTATTCTGGTGTTGTCAGACAATCTTGGACAGAAAAGCTCTTCTTGACTGATCTGTGAGCACATGCATGGGTTGGTGAGTATGCATGGGCATGTGGCCAGTATGCACATGAGTGTGTGTGTGTATTATGTGCTGTGTGTATGTGCACGAATATATGGATATGTTTTGGTCTGTGCATGAATGTGTGTGTCCATCCACTCTGATGTGCATGTAAACACACCTTTTGTTATTAAAGATTCTGTTGGAAGATGCTCTGGGCCATTCTAACCCATGTACGACTGGAAAGAGGAAAAAATTAGCATCTTTTTTTGTCATGGCAATAGATGGTTCTTGGGTTTGCGCCCTCAAAATTGAATTTTGTTTTCACCTGAGAGGGGAGGTGAGTGATGCCTACCTGGGTCTCATCTCCTCTCATCCTGCAGAAAGCCTCATAAAGGTCTTTATATCCTTTTCCCACTTTCTGTGCTAAGAGAGGTGAAGTCACTTGCCCAAGGTCACACAGAGCTCAGATTCAAATGCAACTTTATCTGACTTCCCAGCCTCAGGGCTAAATCCCTCCACTCTCCTGCCTCAAACCTCCTCAGGTTGAATGGAGACTAATAATCCCTACTCAGGCCAGGTGGGCAAAGTCTGCCCAACTCCTTTATTAGCTAGTTTGTTCATTCCTGGGAGCCGAGGATCTTGTTAGAAGGTTCAAGCAATCAGAACAACTGAGAACATATTTGTGGATTGATTGGCTTGATAGGATCTCCAAGAATGCTGGTCTTGCTCCCAAATCAGGATGTCCCTGGGCACTGGGCAGCCCCCCAGGACTGGTTAGACAAAGGGTGTCCTGCTCTGAACTCCCCTACTGCTCCCTTCGTGTCTGGAATGAAATCCCAAGGCTGTGATCTGCCCGGCCTGCCTTGCTGGCTTCACCTTGTGCCCCTGATGCCCTGACAGCTCCAGCCACATAGGTCCTTCTGCCCCTCAAAAAAGCCAATTCACCCTCCTTTGAGGCTTTTGTTGTCCTGCTGCTAGGAGCCAGTCTCTGCTCAGAGAGGATCCCTGAGCCGGGAGGCAGCTCCCCGCCCAGGACTTCCACACCTATCGTTTCTAAGTAAGATTTGTTTCTACCTGAAATTATCCAGGTTATGCATTTCTTTATTTTTATTCATCTCCTCCTGACGCATAGCTTTCTGAGGGCAGGGAGTTTGTCACTGGGAAGCAGTCTCCCTCATACTAACACAGTGCCTGGGATGAATGTTGGGGACACAGAGAAGAAGGTTGTCTCTACCCCACAGGGTGTCTGGAAAATTAAATATGAGCATGAGACATGTGTACATGGTGCCTGGCACGTAGCAAGTGCTCGGTAAGTGAAATATGTTATTTCTTCAATCAACAAGTATTCATTGAGCAGCTGCTGTGTGCCAGTCACGAGCTAGGAGCCAGGGAAAGAATAGCGAGGAGAACTGAAAAGGACCCTGCTTTCCCAAGCTGACTGTTCACTGACACTGAACAAAATAAATAAGTGAATTACACAGTATGTCAGGAAGTGATAAGTGCTCTGCAGAAAAACAAAGCAGAGAAGGGGTTCTGGAGGGCAGACAGTGAGTGGCTATTTTAAATAGGGTGGTGGGGAGGTCTCACTGAGAAGGTGATATTTGAGCAAAGATCTGAGGCAGGTGAGGGAGGAAGCCTCCCTGATGTCTGATGGAAAAACACTCTAGGCAGAGGGAAGTGCAGGTGCAAAGGCCCTGGGGTGGGACCCTGATTACGTTGGAGAATTTTCACAGTCTCCTCTCTGCCATTTTCTTTCTCAAAATTGACAAGCACAAGTGCCTCCCGCCCGCCCAAGTGCTGCTGAATAAGTGTGCAGCATCTCTCCCTGTGACCCAGCCGCCTGTCTCTTTAACCTTGAATGCCTTTTTGGGTCTCATGTGTCACCGAGTGGCGAGCGAGCTCCCCTTACTTCAGAAGAACGGCATGGGGTGGGGGGGCCTTAGGTGGTGTCCGCCTCACCTATTACTGCCAAAAGTGGTCATGGGGTTATTTTTAAACATGGGGAGGAAGTATTTATTGTTCTGAGCAGAAGAGAGAGGGGAAGCCTCAGGGATTCTTCTGGGGAAGCAGTTCTGTGTCCTTTCCACCATGGTGAGTAAGCGAGGGCTTTGGGAGGTGTGATGCTGCAGTGGGGGGAAGGAAAGAGCACCTATGAGAAGAGGACCAGAGGGGAGGGGAAGAAAGGTGGCTTTTGAGGGCCCCAGACCCTGGAGAAAAAAGCAGTGCTTGCTGCGTGTGCGCGCAGAGGAACCCCAATCAATGCCCCCATAAGCCACAAATAACAGCAGCTCCCAGGGACTCGCAAAAACAAAATAAGAGAGTTGGCTTTTTTATGGCTTGTCTACTGACCTCTCGAGGAATCAATAACTCCCAGGGCTTGCAAAATGGGATTGAACGCTTTTAAGGATCAAATTGTAATTCTTTTTTCTTGTTCAGGCAGCTGGGGAAAAGAATCTTTTTGTTTTCACCTTTTGAACTTGCAAATTTAAAACCTTTCTCCCTGTGTTGTTTGGCTAGGTGTCCCTCTCCTAGAGCAAGAAGCCACCAAGTCAGGGAGAGCCTGGGGAATGGTTAGGGGCACAGACTCTGGAGTCAGACTGCGCAAGTGCAATTCTGGGTCTGCCTTTTTGTGACTGTGTGACCTTGGGCAAGTGACCCAACCTCTCTGAGCCCTAGGTGACTTTCCAATAAAATGGCTCTGGTAATAGCAGCGTTTACCTGACAGGGGGATTAAATGAAATCACGTATGTACGGTGTTCAAGTGTTTGCTCTATTTAAAGTCAGAGGGAAATGGGGTGGGGCCAAAGGTTAACTTGCTTTTCTCTGCACTGTTTGCCTATGCAAGGACAGAAGATTTAGAGAGGAGATTTCACTGCCATTTGGATCAAAGGAGAATTGGGAATTGGGGAGGGGGAACAGTGGGTTTTAACGCCCTGAAAAAGTGTCACTTCCTAAAGGTATTCCTCATGGTTTAGTGAGCCTGACGTTCCCCCCTGACCCCCACCACCCAATCAATTCTCCTTCTGTGCATTACTGAACTTTTTTGTGAAATGCACTGAAACACAGGCGGTCAGATCCTGCTGGGGCTGATCTGAAAGTATTGCCTCCTTCCCCAGAGGTGCAGCTCCACCTCCCCCAGTTTTACAAAGGAGGTGCTGCAAGATCCACAGTCTCTGAAGACCCACCAGAACCAGAATGCCTTTGAGACACGCTATTCCTTCCAGGTCCTCTTAGCCCTCTAGGATCATCGTTTTGAGACGAGTGTCGGCCTCCTACCCCCATTTCACAGACGAGCAGTTGAGGCTCACTCAGAGAGGGGACCTGACCTAGTTTTCTAACTTCCAGCTTCTGACTCTTAATCGATGCTTTCCCCTGCCTCCCACCACTTCCAGGCACCCAAGAAAGCCAAGAAGAGAGCAGAAGGCGCCAATTCCAACGTGTTCTCTATGTTTGAACAGACCCAGATCCAGGAATTTAAGGAGGTGGGTGCAGCTGTTGAACCATCCGCCCAGATGGAGATTCCCACCTGTTAGAGAGAACACTCCCTCGGTCCATGTTCCCCACAGGGACCTCTTGGCTATATGTTTCTATCCTCCAAACCCAAATCCAGTCTCAATGTGTGTGTGAACCATTTATTTTATTTTTAATTTTTATTTATTTTTTATAATAATATTTTCTTTTTTTAAAATTTTTATTTATTTATGATAGTCACACAGAGAGAGAGAGAGAGGCAGAGACATAGGCAGAGGGAGAAGCAGGCTCCATGCACCAGGAG